AAAAAAAAAACTAAAATGCAGCAGCTCCTTTCCCGGCAGCGATTTCGCTGCCCATCCGGCAGCGAAATCGCTGCTGGGAGCAGCGAAATTCCCGGCAGCGAAATCGCTGCTGTGCCGAGGGGAGGGGAGGAGAGAGGGAGGCGGAGGCGCGGCGGCGGTGGCGGTGAGGAAGATGGTGGTGGGAGGGAGAGAGAAGGGGGGCAGCCGTGAGAGAGAGAAAAATTAGGGTTGAAAATGAATTAGATTTTGGATATATTTATGGTTTGATATTTAAAATAAAATACCTGAAAAGTGAATAAAAAACGTACAAACCTGATTTTTAAAAACCATTCTTTAAACACCTGATTTTTTATAATTTCCATATATTTGTTGTCTAGATCGGCAGATCAAAGAAGACTACAGCCCATTCTAGAAGCGAGGTCCATTAATCACTAAAGCCCATTGATTAATTAAAGAGAAGCCCATTATCAATTGGGGGTACTGGCCCGACTAGAAAATAAGCCCATCGTATCAATCCTGAATTTGTCTTGAAAAAACAATTTAAATAATACTTTATTTGTTAACTTAAGAATTTACTTAATATCAAATTAGGCAGCTTATTTACAAGCAGTAGAAAAATTTCGCCAATCCATTGAAATAGGCTCAATCCTTTTAATAAAAGATTGGGCCGAGTATTCAATTAAGAGAAGGGAGGGTAATGAATCGATCATCAAAAGAAGAATTATGTCAAGTCGCCTTCACCTATTTGTAACAATCGTACTAGTCTCAGACCTATAATTAGAAAATCAATACGACTTACATCTAAAGAAGATACAATTTACATAAATTCATAACTTATCCAATATCTTAAATATCGGGAAGAGGTAGCTCAATTCAAGAAACGTCACTTTAACTAGAATATTAAAGCACGTAATTATTGACCTCAAGTTCTCCACCAACCAATGAACAGTTTGAAATCTGTGTTTCACTTCAAAAGTTTCTTGCCAATTTGAAGATCTAATTATCCACCTCAATTTCGTCAAAATACTCCGTGAATTTTCCGTTGGAAAAATATATTACGTAAAATTTTGGCTGTAATAAAACTTTATGTTTTGCATAAGCATTTTTTGTGATCTTCTGTTTCAGCCATGGCGAATTTTTGCTGCTCCATTGAAACCGAGCCTCGGACCTTGAATCAAGGGCAGCTCCGCCATGCCAAGGTAGTACCTTTCTCTCTAGTTTCATCTTGCATACTTCAAGGGCATGTTTGTTATGCAATATTTACGAAATTTGAACTTTTTTTTTTCTTTTTTGGTATTAATAGCATCTGGTGCTATTGAATAGTCACGTCTTATAAAATGATAACTAAACTTTTGTCTACATGACATCAATGGTCACGTCTTCATTTCTTGTAATGGAGGTCATGTTTACAGCTTTATATTCTTGTATTAGAAGTACGATACTCTTAAAATAATCTTCTTGACTTTGTATATGAATTTCTTCATTCCCCCCTGAATTGCAAGATATAAGCAATATTTTATGTCACCGTCAACCAGGGGCGGACCTATGAAGGAAGTTCAGTGGAGGCGAAACAAAAAAAACCTTGGAAATTTGAAAACCTAAAAACACCTAGACAAAAAAAATAAAAAAAATCTAAAAATTGAGTGGGGGCAGTGACCCCCATTGGGCCTCACGTAGGTCCGCCCCTGCCGTCAACTCTAATACTATATCAAATAACCACTTTGTTTTAGACTTGGCTCCTATTTAATACGAAAGTCAAAATCAACGATTAATTTTAACAACATATTTTATGGGACCCACAACTTTTCAACTACAAAATTTATCAACTTTTATTAAAATCTACTGAAAATCTTATTTTAATTCCCACGAAACAGGTGCTTAATTAGACGAGTAATGCTACTTGCAGTCGTCCTATATGGCACACATATGGCATGTAGTTATTTGATACATTAACATGGTAGTTTTTGACCATATTTAATGTATCAAATACACACTTGACATGCGTGTGTTACGTAAGGCGACTGCAAGTAGCATTGTTCTAATTAGACTGCTAAATGGGATGAATTTCAACTATGAACTCTAGAAATAACATAAAAATGTAAATTAAACTACTTTAATTCTTTTTGCAAAACTTTGTCTCTCTAATCATTTCATGCTACCAATTGAATTTTAGATTTGATAAACAAATTTGGTTCCTTTTTATGATGCAGGAAGTTGCCATTGACATAGTTCAAAAGAAGGAAGCTGACGAAACCTCGAGCATATTCATCGACGTATGCTACTTATAACTTATTTCATGTTTTCATGTCTCTTGTACTCTATTGTCATCGAGTCTAGATGACATACCCTAACACTTGCAAACTATCTATCTATGGAGGGATTGAAACCAGTTGTTGCTATCAAGGAGATGGCATTGGTGATTTCTGAACCAAGGGAGAAGACCGATCAGATTGTGGAACCATCTTGCCAATGTTCATGTACTAGTATTGCTGCCATTATGGATTCCCCAGATCAACCTGGACTTAAAGAGCCTTTATCATCTCCTTTTTGAGGGTGGTTTTGATCTAATGGAATGTTAGTGATATCCCAATTATAATACTCTGTAGCACCAGTGGTTTGCTAGCAACACCAATACAAAGCTAATTAAATGAATCACGTGACATTGCATTTAAGTGAATTCATCATTTAACGTCGTGCAATTGTCACCCAAACTAGTGTTTGACACCAGTGGTGCTGAATAGAATTGCTCAAATTTTAATGTGCCTTGAAATATGCAATAAATCAACCATTCATGTGGAAGATCTATTCTACGATTCAAATAAATAAATAAATAAAATTCTTTTTACTATTCGTTCAAGATTTTAGACGAGATACTTCAGCATGATAATTTAAATAAACACCCTCTTTTCTTTTATATTAGTTTTGATGTTTCTTTGTTTAAAAATATGACTAATATAGTAAGACGTGTTTTTGAGCTTTTGGATCATCAAAATAGTGGATCTTTATCACGATGTCACTGGATGAGATAAATTATATATTTTTCTTTAGTTGGAGTGATATAACTCAATCTTGTAAGAAGTGGTACCTCATATCCCACCACTCGACTTGGTCTATATTTGGCAAACAAATATATAAAATAATTTATAGATTTAATCAAATTAAACATTAATTTCAATACACGTTCATAACGACAACTCATTATTATCTCCATATTAGCACGAGTTAATTTACACGAGTGTTAAAAGTTAAAACGTTATCAATCTAGTGCTATTTTAGTCAAATCTGAAAAATAAGATCACTCCCAGAAGGCCCATTGGGCCTCTTTCCATGTGGGATAACACCCTGAAAAATATCATCGTCTCCCCCGATCAGCAGCCCCATCACGTCATCGCCATATTTGCCGCTCCACCCCCACCCCACCCCCGCTACAGAGTACAGTCTATTCTTACATATATAGATACACACGTATATAAGTGTAATAAATACATATCTTGCACTGACGGAATGTATAACAATCAATCTCTTTCAAATTGTGGTGTTCTCAGGTGTCCAATTTAGCGATTTTTCTGATAATGTAATTACTCTAAACTTACCCTAGTGTTATTCTACGAGTAATTAATTTTTTCATTTGATGGCGTGTAATTGTATTCTCAATTCTTCATTCTTACCCTTAATTCCTCTATACACCCAGCATAAATTTCGAAAATTCAAAGCTTTACCCTCAATTTCATGCCATTCTAGAAGGTACACCATTATATGTGGAGAGAAAGAAGAAGAATCAAAATTCAGAAAAGCTCAGTTTAATTTATTGAAGCTTTCTGTAACATTAACAGTAATTTCAGCTTCACTGCCCCAGACTTCACATGCAGCTAAAGTGTCTGAAAAGAAGCGTTCAGGAAAAAGATCTGAGGCACTAACCCCAGAGGAATTGAAAAATTGGGTTAAGGACCTTCCAGCGATATCCCATAGGCTCGCTTATAGTGAAATATTGGACTTGAAAAGGGAAAATAGGCTTAAGCATGTTATAAAGCCACCGAATGCTGAGTTGAAGCAGCGGCCCGAGGTGGTTCTGGCGGTCTTGGAGGATAATAAGGTTGTTAGGATTGTCTTGCCTTCAATTGAGAGCGATCCGAGCTTCTGGGGACAATGGGATGAACTGAAGGTTGATGGAATTTGTGTTAATGCTTATAGTCCACCTCTGAGAAAACCTGAAATACCAAGGCCTTATCTTGGGTTCTTATCGAAAATTCCAATATGGATGTTTTCATTGGTTAAGCCAAAGCCTCAGTCGAAGAAGGCATTGGAGTTGAAGAAAGTGAGAGAGGAGTTTAAACAGAGGAAGAATGAGGAACTGCAAAAATATAGGGAAGAAAGGGAGATGATGGAAAAAGCCATAAAAATGCAGAAGAAAATAGAGGAGAAGAAAAATAGGCAGGAGATGAAGAAGATAAAGTATGAGGAGTCCTTGCGCCAGGCACGTAGGAGTTCGCAGGACATGGCAATTATGTGGCAGAAATTAGCTAGTGATTCCAATGTTGCCACGGCTCTTGGGTTGGTTTTCTTCTATATATTTTACCGCACAGTTGTTCTTAGTTATAGGAAGCAGAAGAAGGATTATGAGGATAGATTGAAGATAGAGAAGGCAGAGGCTGAGGAGAAGAAGAAGATGAGGGAGCTGGAGAGGGAAATGGCAGGGATTGAGGATGATGATGATGAGGAGGAGGAAGAAGGAGGAAAGGCTGGGGACAATCCTTACATGAAAATGGCACAACAATTCATGAAGTCTGGTGCACGCGTTCGGAGGGCGCACAACAAGAGACTTCCACAGTATTTGGAAAGAGGGGTGGATGTTAAATTCTCAGATGTTGCTGGGCTTGGTAAAATCCGTCTCGAGCTTGAGGAGATTGTGAAGTTCTTCACCCACGGGGAAATGTACCGCAGGCGTGGAGTCAAAATACCAGGTCAGATTATTGCTTTTCACAAACTTTGATGTTGGTTTTCTATCTTATTCACATATTGAGATTTGCTGAGATATGTATATATTTTTTAGATAGGAAATCTAGTTCCCTGTTTTCCTGATGAGCAGTAAAGATGCAATTGTTATTTATGCTTGTTAGTTGGTTAGTGTTGAAGGTCCTGCTAAGAAATCTTAACCTGTATTTGCATGATGTTCTTTGCACTTGACCATGCTTTACTTGCATCACATACCTGGGTTGCTCAATGCACATTAAGGTTAGTGTTTTAATGTTTTGATTTTGGAAATGAAAGTACTATGGCTAGACCACTGTGACTAGTAAATCCCAAAGCTATCTGTTTTACTCTTTGATTTGGAAATGAAGACTTTATAGTTAAACTGTTGATTCTGAACTTTCCGTGTGGTTTTATAGTAGTTTTGTCACCTAAATATATCGTACATGTTATTTTTTTTCGTGGAAAGAGTTATTTTCTATTTCGTACAACATGTTAGATATATTAGAAGTGGAGTTCATGGTGCTTTTATTTGATCACTCCAAGTTATTAGTTTCACATTGAATTTACATTTACCTATTAATTAGTGCAGAGTTTCTTGCAGTTTCTATAATCACCTTTCTTGATGCGTGTCAATTTATAAGTTCATATCTTTTCTCACTACTCGTGCTACTCGTCTCATCCTCATCTGGTAGGTATTATTGCCTGACAAAAAATTTCAGGTGGTATACTTCTTTGTGGTCCCCCTGGGGTGGGAAAGACATTGTTAGCAAAAGCTGTGGCTGGTGAGGCTGGGGTGAATTTCTTCTCCATTTCTGCATCTCAGTTTGTCGAAATATATGTTGGGGTTGGTGCTTCTCGTGTTAGAGCACTCTACCAAGAAGCGAGGGAAAATGTGAGTTTTCTATTTTTTTTATGGTTCTTAGAATTTTAAAAGCTTCTACTCTGCATATGCGGGTTACCGACTCACTGTGTACAATGATGTTTATATCAACATCAATGCCGCTAACTAGGGCTAATGCTTTATCTTTGCTTCATTTATTCCTTTTTCTCCTAAGCTTCTCTCTGATATATCAATGGCATTACAGCAGATCTCATATATACCTTGTTGCTTTTACTTTCTCTCAGTCGTTTTTCCTAGTGAAAAATTTGGTTGTCTCATGGAAATGTTAATATTTGTGAGTGTTGTTATGTAAATTTGAATAGGCTCCATCCGTTGTCTTCATTGATGAGCTGGATGCTGTTGGAAGGGAACGTGGTTTGATTAAGGGATCTGGTGGACAGGAACGGGATGCTACTTTAAATCAGGTTCTTTGGGCATAATGCATTTCTCTAAGTTTTCAGCCCATATGGATCCACATTTATGGTTAATATTGCAATTATGCTTCAGCTTCTAGTCTGTCTGGATGGGTTTGAAGGAAGAGGTGAAGTGATTACTATTGCTTCCACAAACAGGCCTGACATTTTAGATCCAGCACTTGTAAGACCAGGAAGGTTTGATCGGAAAATATATATTCCAAAACCTGGCCTTATAGGACGCATTGAAATTTTAAAGGTATGAAATATCCCATGTATACTTAGTTTATATATGCAACCTAGATGCTCCAAAATCCAAATGCATAAACTATTTGTTTATATGCACGCAACTAAATTTGTATTTCATGAACTAGCAGTTTTTTTTTCCTTGCTAATTCATTTTGATGAAACCTAAATGGTAATAATCTATCATTTATTGTTCTTTAGCCTTAAGCATCAATAGTACCTACTGTTTTGAACTTATTCTTTATTTTTCTCATATTAGGTCCATGCTAGAAAGAAGCCAATGGCACCAGATGTGGACTATATGGCTGTTGCCACTATGACTGATGGAATGGTTGGTGCGGAGCTAGCCAACATCATTGAGGTCGCTGCTATTTATATGATGCGTGATGGAAGAACCGAGGTACTCAACCCTTTGAAATGCTGGACCTAGAAATCGCAATGATTTTAGCTATTTTTTGGGTAAAGGCCATTTCAGTTAGTAATGGCTTTTTGGCCTGCGTACCTAAGCTTGAATGAGGGGTTTGGCTATTCCCCCTACCCTAGTATATGGAGAACTAATACATCGAATGGGACATGTCACCTTACCTCTAGGGAGTTTTTACCAAAAAAATAAATAAATCACCAAAGCTGTACAAATTCTGTTTACAAGTAATGAATCTATAGATAGCAGCAAAAAAATTATTAAGTCTAATACGCTTATGCTCTAATGTTGGGCAATCTCCACTTGTGCATTCTTAGTAAGCCTGTGATCTCTCCATTAAGTTTTAAAGGTTGTAGAATCTTGAAGGGCTTCTCTTTATAACCAGTTAAGCCTCCCTGTGATTCTATACATATACCAGTTAAGCATTCATCATTCCCTGTTCTCTCTTTTTCTTCTTTTTCCTTTTTCTTCCCCGTTTATACTTTATCCTTCCTAGATGGGGTTCTTGAGAATGAAAAAGTGAACCATGGAGACCACTTTGTGCATCTGTTCATATGCCTATTTTCTGTGCTGCATTGTCTTTTACATTCAATTTCTTCCTCCTTGCATGTATATACACAGACTAGTTACTGTCAATTGATGAGATTTTTGAAATTAGCAAAGATGAAGTTAGTCAGACTGGTGATGTTGTGAAGGACATTGAAATTTCGATAAAAATGACAACTTTGAAAATAATAATAGAGACTTTACTTTTGATGATTGACATGGTTGAAAATTTATACGTTTGACTTTTGGCATCATGTTTGAGTTTATTATTTGACATATTATGTATTGTAAATTGTGGACCTTTATAAAGTAGTTTCAACTTTCGTTTTCTAGTTTGATTTTAGTTAGTTATAGTTGTTGCTTTTTGTTAAGAATATTTGATGTTTTATCTGTTTTTTAATATTTTAATTATTAATATTTAGTAGAATCTTATGATCCTCGATGCGATCCCCTATGCCTCTTCATCAATCCGAATCAATGTTATGGTGCTGACAACCTTGGTTACAATATTAAGTATTAGCATACACGCGCTGAGATACATGAACATGTGCTTGGCATTTTGGAAATTTTGTTTAATTTTAACTTTCTCACTCTTGTACAGATTACAACTGATGACTTGTTACAAGCTGCGCAAATAGAAGAACGAGGAATGCTTGATAAAAAAGATAGGAGCCCTGAGACGTGGAAGCAAGTAGCTATTAATGAAGCAGCAATGGCTGTTGTGGCTGTGAACTTCCCTGATCTTAGGAATATTGAATTCGTATGATCTATACTTCCTATTATTACTCTATGCTTTCATATTTCTTCTTTCATGGATGATCATTCATTACTTACGCCAAACTAAAATTTCTTGAATTATAATCAAGTTTCTCTATTATTATGTTTTTCACCAGTCAATTTTTTTTAATTAATCATCAATTATTATTACTCCATTTCTTTTCTTTTCTTTTTTTTTTTTGGGGGTGGGGTGGGGAGACCCATATATAATGAAAAAGTATACTTGCCAGCACATAGCAAGTATCACGAAAAAGAATTGACCAACATGATATGATTTATGAAATATCATAGAACCCCTAACCATACTCTATAAGAGAAATTGTCATGAAAGATTAAATAATTCACTTCCCAACGTTTTCTTTACACTCTTGGATGCATAGCCTTGCTTCATATATCAACAAACACCTGAGCTTGTTGAGCCCTTGGTCTAACTTTAAACCCCACCTTGTATACATTGTACTCCGTTGGGTATTATCCCTCTTGATATATCATCAAGTGCTGCACCCTATTAGGAAAATGAACAATCAGTACTTCCTATTCATGGTCTTCCATGTGCATCTCGACTGAAATATTTCCATTACGTCTATGATGGTTCAATTGATCTTTCTGGAGTAGTTAATTTGTCTTCATGCTTATTGAGTAGGCAAGGATCATTTTAAGTTAGCTTCATAGTTTCTAGTCTACGCACATGATTTTCTGTGGTAGTGATAATTTATTAGTGAAGTTTTTGCTTCTCCTTTGTGTTGTAGTGTAATCATGGTGACTTCTGATTCTTTGATACTGCTTCATGTTATCAGGTCACAATTGCTCCAAGAGCTGGAAGGGAATTGGGCTATGTACGTATGAAAATGGACCATGTGAAATTCAAGGAAGGAATGTTGAGGTATGGCTTCTCTTACCACATGAGCTGTACAATATTTCTCTATTTGGTTACCTTAATATATTTAACGAAGGTAATGACTGTCCATTTCTAATATGCATTAGCGTTTAATTACTATCCATTTCTAATATGCGCTTTCAATACGTAGCAAGCACCTTGCCCCCCATTCCAAAAAATAAATTGCATTTCTACGGGTATGATTTTATTCCATAAAGCACATCCTTGAGGAATTAACTCAGTGAGACCTTTTTCCTCTATGATTTCTCGATGCTTTGCAGCATAATGGTTGTTCTTGAACATGTTAACAGCAATCACACAATTCAACCTGCTCTGAGTCCTCTATGTATTAATATATGCACTTTTTTGTCCTTTTTTGCAGTCGGCAATCTCTCCTGGATCACATTACAGTCCAACTAGCACCACGAGCAGCTGATGAGCTGTGTTATGGAGAGGGTCAGGTAATAAGACTTTCAAGTCTCGTTTTCCGTATTTCAATTTATGAATTTCTTGCGGCATTTCTTTAGTGTGAGGTTATTGTGATGTTAAAATATGTTTGCTGTTACAGGATACAATATCCCGATTCATTCTAAGAAATTTTTGTTAATAGTTTACAGGATGGGTCCAAATTTTGGTGTTTTTACCTATTTTCTCTGTATGATTGTCCTCTTCACATATAAAGCCAAATGATCTACATGCCTGTGGAAAGATGAAGATTTTTCCTTTCTATTACAAGGTCTAAATGTGGAAAATCAAGAAGTTTTTGCGTAACCTGTTGTTCTCAACATTTCTATTTATGGGAATTACATCAATGCCATTGAGAATGAACTTCAGTTCACCAATTTTAGTTTGTGAATCCTGAGACTCTTATCATTCTAATTGTTAATGACACTATTGGACTTATTCTGTCGAAATGCTGAAAGTGGATATATACTAATGGATGTTTTAAGGAGAATAATAACTTCTTTTGGCATGTTGATCAAGAATCTTTTCATTTGAACATTCAATGGTTCCATTATTCTTGTGAGAATTGTGAGGTTAATTTCCCCATCATAAGAAGAAAAATGCTATAAAATTGATCTCAGATGTCCAATTGTAATCACTCTTTTGAATAATTTCTCACGAATGCTTTTGAAAATTTCCAGTTGAGTACGATATGGGCAGAGACTGCAGACAATGCTAGGTCAGCTGCACGGACTTTGGTTCTTGGTGGCCTTTCTGAGAAACATTATGGTCTGAACAACTTCTGGACTGCAGAGAGGATAAATGTAAAATTCTATATGCCTTGGGCTTCTTCAATAGTTCTAAATTCTATTTCTAAATTTTCGACCCTTGAGCAAGTGCAAGTTTTTTTAATCTGATATCTTCAACTTTATTATTTGGCTCTATCTTAATTTCTGACTCATGGTCCAAGAGGATACAAGAAGCTGGAAATGGAGGGAAATTTTCTGCTGTCGTCTTTGTCCTTTATTTGTTTTTCTTTTCTGTATCTGGCTTTTGTATATTTTACATATTCTTCCTTTAGGCTCTACCTTAATATTTTTTTATGACTGTCACTGCCTGATTTCTGGCATACAATTTTGATTTTCAGGATATTGATACAGAGGCATTGCGGATCCTAAATATGTGTTATGATCGTGCAAAAAAGGTATTAACAGTATGACTAAACAGCAATAAAATATCTTATTCATTAAGAAGTTATTAAGAGCTTGCTCCTTTTAAGCAGATTCTTCAGCAAAATCGAGAACTTATGGATGCTGTTGTCAATAATCTCGTCCAGAAAAAGAGTTTGACCAAGCAAGAATTCTTCAACTTAGTCGAGTTGCACGGGTCCCTTCAACCAATGCCACCCAGCATACTTGATATTAGGTCTACAAAACGTTCACAATTAGAAAATATGATTGCAGACAAGAAAGTAGTTCTGGAGGAAAGCATATGAGTACCATGCTTGAAGACAGTCTATCAGGTTTTAATTCTATAATCTCTAATTAAAGAGCTGGAAACGTCTTATTATACAGTGGAAATTGGTATTATATGAAAAAGTATCACTATTGCATGTTCGGTTTAGCTTAAGAAGTTCGCTTAGAAATAATTTAGAACTTATTTTGACAGGAAAGATGAGATTTACTTTCAAAATAAGTAACGTTTTACTAATAAAGTGATAAATGAGCAACATATTCAGACATGTATGGAAACAAAAACCTTTTTAAGGTTGGCAAAAAATGCACTATCTTAATCCCATGAATGCATCTCTATGAATGCATCAAAAATTATAAATTTAACTTAGTAAGGCGTAACTGCATACCCTTGTCTATATTTTGGATCCTTCCTAGATGTATCCTCCATATCCTAGATTTTATAAGAAAAGGATCCGACACCTTGAATAATCACACCCGAGTCCAAGCTACGTAGTCAAACACCAAAGACAGACCCATTAGGACCTGACAATCTGATTCAAATAGTGTTAATGTTGCTGTATTTCTTAGGATTTTATACCCAAGGCACTTTTAGATTTGCATCATTCCTTTCAGGCAAGAAGAGCATATTTTGCGTCCCTTTGTCATGGAATTTCCTTTGTATTATTGAAGATGGTGTAACCAATTGATTCTACTAATGCCAAAGCCTCGTAAACGGTGTTCGGCTCTCGTGTGCACCCAATGCATTGGGGAAGATACAAAAACATCACAAGGAGATGAAGATGTTTACATATTCTTGGATACTTCGTAGAATCGATCATTTAATTTCTTGTATCAATACAGAACTTTATTAGTTCAATTGATAGGGTCATCAAAATTTTGTTTGTGCGCATCTCTTGATCTATCAAACGGTTGATTTAGAACATTTTTGTCAACGTCCATGCACATTGTATATCATTGGTCCGACCGTACTTTTAATTTGTTTTCCTTTCATATATAGGCGACACCATTTGCTTCAACATTTTACTTGATTCGTGTTTCCTTTCTGTTCAAGTGTGTGTGTGTATGTTTTTTTGTTATTTCTCTATAGATTGGAACCGATTAAGTATTGTCATGACTTATTCTTCTGTTTAGAATTGAATTTGAGAATAAGGTTTTTGCTTGGAGTAGTGTTGTCAACAGGTGGGCCCACCCAGGCCTGACGTGGCCAAGCCCAGTAAGAAGTTGAATTTTTCATGCACAAGAAAAGATTTTAAACTGTGTTCACAAAATCGGACCAATAATTTACCCGAAAAAAGAGAACGGGTCAAGGATGTTATTGACTGGCTTTCAGTTGCCTAAATTTCTAAAAAAGAGAGATCAAAAAGCAAAAGGAAGAATTTTTCAAACGGAATGGCGGCCTTTTGTTGCAACAACAAATATCAACACATGAAGATATACTTGAGAAAACAAGAATTTTTACTTCTAAAGACTTGGACATGGCCACTGATTGCTTCAATGAAAATCGAATACTCGGTCAAGGAGGGCAAGGGATAGTTTATAAAGGTATATTATCTGATGGGAAAATTGTAGCCGTAAAGAAATCTAAGTTGGTAGACGAAAATCAAGTGGAACAGTTCATTAACGAGGTTGTCATACTCTCACAAATAAATCATAGAAATGTGGTAAAGCTGTTAGGATGTTGTTTGGAAACAGAAGTGTTGGAAAATAGTTTTAATACTAGTGAAATGGGTCAACTTTGAGCCCAAATTTCAGTGGGATCCATGCCTTAATTTCAACGGGACCTAGCATATTCATGTTCTACTCCACAAGAGGATTAACGTGATATATTTATTTGTCGAAAATCATTTAGTATTGAATGAAATATTTAATGTCAAAGTAACCCGCTTGAAACACGAATTGATTTATTAGAAAATTTCCATACACTTGTCCCACATAGGAAAGTTATGAAATTTTGACGTGGTTTATATAGTGTAAGGTTGGGAATTG